GGCGGTCGTGCAGAAGACATCCATGGGTTATGCACGGAAGTCCGTTGAGGTGGTCAACGAGGTGAGCTTCGGACGATCGCATATTTTGAATCTGCCGTCGAGTGCGTTGGTGACAGCGGTCGACTTACATGGCGTTCACATTTGTCATCATGTCGTTCGCGCTCGCGACGAGTTCGGTGGATGTCCTGTCAAACAAGATCGCTTCGGAAGTGCAAACGCTTTACGTTGTCGCGTAAACTTGTGCCCAGGGCCCACTGATGTGATGATGTGGTGGACGAGCGAAAGCACGGCACTTGGAGGTTGGACCATCACGTCCATCGTGGTGGTCCGTAAAACTGGAATCGGTGGGCGATGCTAGGCGCAAGCGGTTCAAGGTGACCGTTGGCCCCCGCGTTGGTTGGTGCTATGGCGCATCTGCAGATGCTGGAGGACGTCGTGCCATGCAGTGCTGCTAGTTGCTTTGCATGCGGGCGGGAGGCCGTCGTCGGTCACGGTGTCGCCAACCCAGCAGAGAGTCCGCAACAGCGGGTGGGATTCCAAACCCTGTCGCCAATTCGACGCTGGACGACAGCGTGAGCGACCACAACGACTCCATTCTGGCCACTTTGAAAGGGCCGCACACACCAGGCACATCACGCGCCATCGACGGACCCGCTTGACCAATATGCACGTGAAGGCACAATGTGGTGGAACGATGTAGGAGGGCCAGGCATGATGACCTTCTTGTTCACTCGATGCGCCGGGATCTGCTCTCTCTCATCGCGTTCATGCAGTTTACGGGAGGCCCAACGAGCGCTTCCACGGCCGAGATGCTCCACCGACTTGAAGCCTTGTCCCGACGCCTCTAGCGCCCGCGCGAGGGTCATGCTGCGTCGGTGGCGTGTATACTGTAACAAGTGACCGTCCACCGCCGCCCCCAATAACGCAAGAATTTCACAGTCCGTCCCCGAACCAGATGCTCCCCGTCAGCTGCGAAAATGGAGCTGACCACGAGCCACTTGGTCTCGTCATGAGTGGGCAGTCGGTCTCGATGGCGCGATCGTGGGCGTCGCTTGCTCCATCCGCTCGGCGAGCCACTTGAAGGTCCACACATCACACGATGTCGTCCGTGCCGACCGTTCGATCCGCGCCACGGCAGACAGCCAACGGCGAAGGCGAGCAGTACAAACAGTACTGCAAGGTCGGCACCCACCAACACTGTACGCAGCACGAGTGCGCATCGCGTACGCAAGACGACTGTCCAGGCGCGCAAGGCGTCGTAAAAAGAGTAGTTCCACTGCAGCAAGGTCGGGCAGGTTTATGCGGAAATGGATGGGGTTTCAGTAGCTTGGGCCTCGTGCCAGCCGCGCTGCCGCCGTCTAGGGTGAAGTTTGGGTCACTGGATTGGAAGCGAATCCCGCGGAAGGGGGGACGACCCTCGCGACGACCGCATCGCGTCGAGCGCGTTCGACGCGTGCCATGAGGTCGATGACCAGATCCCGCTCCGATGCCACAGTCCACCACGACCCAACGTTCCAAAGTACCCACGGCACGTGGTGGCGAGGCCGTCGACATGGAGAATTGGATGTACCGTATCACTTGGATCGCCGGAAGCGCACCGGGGCCAAGCCGGACGTACGACACCCTGGCGCCACCGCGCCGTGGAATCCTCGAGAAGGTCGAAGATCGAAGTCTACGTGCTCTGACCACACGAGGGGGACGCGACGCCGCCGGACTCCCACAAGTGCACGGTATGTCGTTCCCGCGGCGAAATGCCCATCGGTCGCCGTCGAGCCCCATATATCCCGCTCGAGCGCTGGGCTTGCCATGCTGGCACGATGGACGCGGGGCTGCTGCCGCCCCCGCACAAGTCCACGGGGGCTGGCATGCCACGACGATTATTCGTCGACTCTTCTTCGACACAAGATCGTTCGTGCGTCGAGTTCGCCCGTGCCATGCGGATTGGCCGACGACGACCGCGCCAGGTTCAACGAGGCAATGTTTCTCGACACCGCTCGTGCGGCGGCGGATAGCCGATTATTGTTCGTGGACACAACATGCGAGGTGGGCACGACCCCCCCCCTGTCGCTTTTCGTCCGTGAGGTTGCGCGATGGAGATGGATGGGCTGTCCTTGCTACGTCGCGGGTATGTACGGAGGCTTTGCAGCGGCACTGGCGTGCCGGTCGCCTTCCCCGAGTCCTCCTCGGCCGGCCACGACGTCGCGTGGCGGCGTTCCAACCGACAACGTCGGGCGTGTCGTATGTTTTCTGAACCGACACCAGCAGGTCGAGCGGCATTCGCATCGCCCTCGTGAGCTTGGCCCACCCTTCTCGTCATGCAACCCCATGAGCCACGTACCTTGTACAATCATTCAGTGTGGGACATCCGTCGCTCGACGGCCTGCGACAACCTAAACGCCCCGTGAAGGAAGAAGGCTCAACGTGCCAAGCGACGGAGATAGCGTTCCATGGCCGACGATGCAGCGTTCAGGGTCGACTCACCCCAGCACGGGCGACACGGCGTTCAGGTGCTGCCTCGTGCATCCATCCTATCGTCCTTGCACGCATCGCGCTCTCTGCAACGACATCGCAGTCGTCACCTGGTCTCTGGAACCTTTCGTCTAAGTACTGGCTGATCTCCTACGCGATAGGAAATTTATAAGCAACGTTATACAAAGGTTCACTATGTCCAATGAAACTGGAAGCTGGGGCGACTTCAACAAGCACGTGCCGGGTACATATAGCTGGGTTGCGGACTGCTCCCTCGTGGTATATTGTGTAGGTTTCACCTGTGACATGTAATTGGCTCCAGCGCCACTGGATACAAATATCAGGTTCCCATGGCGCACTTCCGAGGGTTGATCGCACTTACTGACATTTTCTTTCGGCTGGTTCGATATTTTGGCAAAAGTTGAACACTCCACACCGTTTCAGTAATATTCGAACGAATCAGTTCCCTCGCTTTTCACGACGGTCACTTTGGCATCTGCCGTCCGCCGCGCACTCCGCCGCCCACCATGATGTCCATCACGATTCCTCGGGACCCCGACGCCATCGGCAACGACAACGTCAGCCTTGTAGACCGCGCGTCGACCCGGTCACCGACGTTCACCATCTCATCGTTGCTGAACCCTGTCGCGTACAAGCAACAACAGCTTGACATGGCCACGACGAGCATCGGCGCGTCCGCGTTCGCGAAGGATCTCACCGGTGCGTACGGTCTCTTAGACCTTCGCCGTGACGCCGAGTGCTTCCTCTCGAGCTGCAGACGAGAAGCCACTGTCGGTGGCCTTTGCGTCGAACACACGTGCAAAGTCCAAGGATGCCGCAACTTTTCGATCCACAACGACATGTGCCAATTCCACAACACTGGCGTCACGGATGGCAACGACGATGGCGCGCTAACCACTCCACGCATGCGCCCTGGTGCCTTCCGTTTGCATCATAACCATCTCCCGTCGCTTGATGTCACGAGTCCAATGGGCAAATCGTCCGCTGTATCCCTTGCCGCCGCGAGCGTCCTTCTTGCCAACAGCAGCGCGTCGAAAACGTACGTTCGTAGCCGTTACTGCAAAATCTCCGAGTGCCATAAACTTCGCCACAAGAATGGACTGTGTGTTGCCCACGGTGGTGGCTGGTACTGCAAAGTCGACGGCTGCACCAAACATTCCAAGGCCAAGGGCTTGTGCAGTGCGCATGGCGGTATCCATTACTGCCGCATCGATGGATGCACCAAGTACCGGAAGAAGAAGGGTCTGTGCATTGCCCATGGTCGCGGGTTGTTTGGTCGAAGCGACAGCATGGGCAGCGACGACGACGAGTAAGTTGTCTCGGCCACCACCTGCCACCACTATTTATCTTCTCCATCCGTCCCCTCGATCGAATGTGTATTTAAAACTGTGTGATCTGTCCTGTTGTAATTCACATGTAAATATTCTGTGCACCGCGCGTCGCCGAGTCATCGACCCACGCGAGCCGTTCCTGCAATGGATGGACATGCGCACCCTGTTCGCAAACGAGCAAGGTAGTCACAGTGCCACCGTCGTCTGCTCGCCTTGACCAGTTCGCGCCACCCGAATGGTAGCTAGCGGCACAAAGACAAAGTATTGTACCGTACAGCAGGGGCCGCGACCGCTCCATTGCCCCTCAATTGAGGGCGATATCTAATCCTTGGAACGAAAAGTAGCATCTCCTGTGGTTTTTCACGACGCCACGATGTACGAATGGGGCTGTCGTTCACCTCGAAGCGCTCCATCAGCGAAACCATCACTACTCACACAATGCCCATGTTAGGACTAGTCGATCTCGCACCCCTTGCTCTCTTGGCGTTTCCACGACACTGCGACTCGTCGCGCCGTCGAGCCAGAGTCAATGCATGGAAGTCGTGGCAAACCTGAGGCGGCTTGTACAGGGACGGCAGTCCCATCGCCGCAGCCTCCTGAGCCGACAAGCATGGCGGCAACGTGACGATGGCAGAATTCCTTGCACACAAGGTTCAGCCAGCTTGCTTCGGCGCGCAGCAACATCCAATTCCGTGCGTTTGAACATTGGCCGCCACGGCGAATTGTCCTCATGCGAATCCAGAAATTGAAACTATGTTAATTCCCAATAAAAGATATGAATTATAAGAACTAGTTATAAATTGCATTGAAAACAGTCCTTTGACGGGTGACATGGAAAAAATCCACTCCAAAATATTCAACTTGGGCGAATACAGTACGTCAAAACGATATTATTTAAAATAGATGAGCCATTCAATACAGTACTGGAGGTTTATCTTGCTTCAATGGTATTTAAAATTGTCCCTTCGTTCTAAACATAACGCACTTACAGATGCATGAGGAACATGACGATACTCTCGATCCCTGTGTCGACGGGGTCGCGAACAATGCGGGGGAACGAAGGACGATTGATGAAGGTCATGAAGACGAAGCACCGCCTGAAGCGTCGCAGTTTGAAGCGACGACGGTACAACTAGTTGACGGGAATCCGATCCCAGTCACATCCCACCGGCCACGCAACGGACGTCCATGCCATCCCGTGTGGAAGCACTTTGTCCGTGGAGAGAAGCGCAATCGCTTTCACTACCGCGCGTACTGTCGATTTTGCGTGGATGCCGTCACCGCGCTTCATCGCAGCAACGGAGGCACAATTGACGATCCATTAGAACTTGTGACGCCTACTCGTGGGGTGCCTGCCGACATGCTCAAGCACTTACATCAGTGTCCGCAGTGTCCGTCCGTAGTACTGGAGCACTTGCATCGCAACAAGAAACGCACAAGTCCTGCATCCGCATCGAAGCGTCTTCCGACTTCGTCCTCCACGAAGAATTTGGTCCATCCTAAACCTCCTCGACCTATGCCACCCGACGCCGAGCAACTCGCCTTAGAGGAAACATCACGACGGCAATACGTTGCTATGTGGAAGGCGACCGTCTCGGCTGGCCTGGACCTTCGGTGGACACAGTCCGTGTCGGCCATGGCTTCATTGACGCTGCCACCCCTGCACCTCAAGGACATGGTGGGAGTGGCGCGCGATTTGGCACGAACCCAACTGGTGAAGGTGAAAGAAGGCATGCTCAACTCGACAATCAAGGGTGGCCTCACACTGAGCTTGAACACATGGGCCACTCGGCGGCAGCAGCACATGATAGCGTTTTCGCTGCTGAAGTCTGACGGAGAGGCATGTGCGGTGTCGGTGGTCGAAACTGCATGGACGCGAGATGCCATCGAGCATCACATTCGATCGGTCTTGAAGGCATTGCATGCGGATGACGTGTGTATCGTCGGGATCGTGGCGGAGGGAATGCTGGCGCTGAAAGCAGCGGAACACGTGCGAGCGACAAGTCACCCGGAGCTGCTGGTCGTGCCGTGTGTCGCCCAACTGTTGTCGACAATTGCCGGGTCGATCTTGACGTCGACTTCAGATGTCATCGCGACGGTGGGTTGTGCCATCGAATTGCTCGCGTGGTGTCGACAACCTCCACCACACGTTGCTCAGTTGCTCCCGTCCTTTCAGAGCAACGGGGAGCCGCTGCCAAATCGACAAAATGCAGGGTCGTTTTACACTTGTTTAAAGGCGAGTCTTGCCCTCAAGCCAGGTTTCATCCGAGCGGATACGAGAGCGACGTTGCAGTCGTATTTACCACCGCCATTGTGGTCTCAAGTGAGTACATCGGAGTTCTGGAGCAACGTCCTGCGCGTTGCTGAAGCGTTGGAGCCGCTAGCAGATGCCATCAAGTTGTTGCGACACCCGACGGCCTCACGAACGCTGTCCCATGTCACGTACGCATTTGCTCGCATATTCCAAGCATACGCTGCGTCCATGTCGACCGAGTTGCTCTGCAACGAAACGTGCTCTACCCTGACGTTGCTCGATCGAATGTGGACGTTGTACGAGCAACCTGCGATGGTCCTCGCGACCTATTTTGACTTTCACTTGAACTCGACGTGGCTTGCGACCACGGACGCCGACGTCGCCGCCGCGTTTGCCGCATACTCGACCCGGTGGTTCCATCAACCCGTCGCAGTGTCTCGCATCCAAGACATCCTCCACGCTGTCCGATCCAAGACGTTCCCATTTGACTGCACCCCCGACTACCACGACGTGAGCTCGTTTTACTCTTTCGTGGCCAACTCACACCCGGAACTGTGCGCGCTGTGTTGCCGTCTCTATGCCATCTCGATCGTGTCAGCACCAGTGCATGCGGTTCTTCGAGGCATTGGATTCGACTTATCGCATACTGCAACGATGCACGACGCCAACATGGTGCTACCCCTGTTGCAAATTGGGCTCACGACTGCTATGTCGGGAGGAGGGAAGGGCCGAGCGTGCGATGGCTTCGTCCAACCTGATGTTCGAAGATGGCTGGACGCCAACGAGAACCAAAGTCAGCTCCTGTACTCTGAATCTGAGTGGAGGCTTGTAGCGACGCAGTGGCAAGCTCACATTCGCGCCGAGGTTGGTGATCTGCCTCCTATCAACTGTCGCACGAAACAGCAGGGCCTGCAACACCTCTTCGCTCCCAACCTACCACGCGTATCTTTTGACTGTTAATTTATGTGCTTGTCACTGAGTTCCTTCACAAATTGCCGCCTTCGTCGCCGCCCTCGTTCTCTGTCCGTCCTGTTTGCCACCATCATGTCCTACAAAGCACGTCCATTTCCGGATAACAAATGGCAATATGCGGATCTTTTTCTCCCCAAGTTGGGAATACAAATCCATCCAAAATGAGGTATGTTCGAATGAACTCACTGTCGGTGGGAGAATTCCTATTTTCGAACACATTCGGTGGGGTTTGTCCTTGTGAATACCCTAAAAGTCCGAAACTGGTTGAGGTTGGATTGATGAAATGGGTATCATACAAATCCCAAGTGAAATCATTGAAAACATTGTGCAATTCCGATATTTATATTTCCCGTCGCGATATGTTGGGCGAGGGAATTGAATTCGCGAAAGTTAAACT